GTTAGAATGACTAACACCATGTTTTCATTTCTCTTGGGTATATACGCTAGCAGTGGAATTGCTGGGTCCTATGGTAACTGTTTAATATTTTGAGGCATGGACAAATGTTTTCCATGGCAGCGGCACCATTTTACATTCCCACCAGCCACATTTGAGGGTTCTGATTTCTCCACATCCTCACCAACACTTGTTATTGTGCATAATTTTGATTATAGCCATTCTAGTGGGTGTGAAGTGGCATCTTAAGGTTTTGATTTGTATTTCCCTAGTGATTAGTGATGCTGAGCATATTTCTATGTGCTAATTGCCATTTATATATCTTCTTTGTAGCAATGTCTATTCAAGTTCTTTTTAAATTGGGTTTTATTTTCTAGAGAAGGAGGTCTCGCTTTGTTGCTCAGGAGTGCAGTGGCATTCACAGGCTCATATCATGATCATAGCGCACTACAGTCTCTAGCTCTTGAGCTTAAGCTATTCTCCCTTGTAGCTGGGACTACAGCTGTGCGTCACTGTTTGTTGCCCGGCTCTCATTGTCTTTTTATTGAGTTGTAAGAGTTCTTTTTATATTTGGGATGCTAGAAAGTTATTAGATACATGATTTGCAAATATTTTTCTCTCATTGGATTATCTTCACTTTTTTTATTGGTGTCTTGTGAAGCACAAATTTTTAAATTTTGATGAAATGCAATTTATCCATTTTCCTTTGGCTGTTTGTGCTTTTGGAGTTCATATCCAAAAAACCATTGCCTTAATTCAAGGCCAGAAAGATTTATACTTGTCTTTTTCTAAGAGTTTTATAGTCTTACCTCTTACATTTGTAAGTCTCTTGTCCATTTTGAGTTAATTTTTGTGTGCAACATGAAGAAGGAGTCCAAATTCATTCTTTTGCATGTGGATAGCCAGTTGTTCCAGTACCATTTATTGAAAAGACTATTCTCCCCCCATTGAATGATGTTGGCACCTTTGTCAAAAATCAGTTGACCATATATATATGGGTTTATTTCTGGATTTTGTTTTATTCCAATAGTCTATATGTCTATCCTTATGTCAGCATCACACTGTCTCAATTACTGTAGATTTTTGTACATTTTAAAAAAGTGAGGCAAAATTCATATAACAAAATTAATGATTTTAAAGTGTACAATTCAGTGTCATTTAGTATATTTACAATGTTGTGCAATCATAACCACTATGTGATTTCTGAATGTAGTAATTTCTGAAATCAGGAAGAGTGAATCCTCTAACTTTGTTCTTCCTTTTCAAAATTGTTTTGGCTATTCTGGGTCCCTTGCATCTCCATATAAATTTTAGGATTAGCAACTCATGAACATGAGATGTTTTTCCATTTATTTAGGTCTTCTTTAATTTATTTTAACAATGTTTTATAGTTTTCAGTGTACAAGTCTTGCACTTCTTTGGTTAAATTTGTTCCCAGTCTAATTGATAATAACTGAAATACTTGTTACCAAGTATTTTATCTTTTTTTTTTTTTCAAGACAGAGTCTTGCTCTGTCGCCCAGGCTACAGTACAGTGGCATCATCATAACTCACTGCAACCTCAAACTCCTAGGCTCAAATGATTCTCCTGCCTCAGCCTCTTGAGTAGCTGGGACTACATGGGCATGGCATTATGCCCAGATAGTTTTTTTTTTTTTCTATTTTTGGTAGAAAAGGGTTTCGCTCTTGCTCAGGATGGTCTCAAACTCCTGACCTCAATTCTCCCATCTTGGCCTCCCGGAGTATTTTTTTTTAATGCTATTGTAAGTAAAATTGTTTTCTTAATTTCATTTTTGGATTTTCATTGCTAGTATATGGAAGTACAACTGATTTTGGTGTTGATCTTGTATCCTGCAAACTTGTCAAGCCATTTATTTGTTCTAATAGTTCGTGTGTATACGTTCTTTCGGATTTTTCTATGTATATAATCATGTCATCTGCAAATATAGTTTTACTTCTTCCTTTCCAATCTGGATGCCTTTTATTTAATTTTCTTGCCTAATTGCCCTGGCTAGAAACTCCAGTGCAATGTTGAATAGAATGGCAAAATCAGACATCTTTTCTTGTTCCTGATTTTAGGGGGACAGTTGAGGAAAAAATTTTTCATATTAATAATTGAATATGATGTAGGTTTTTCTTTTTTTCTTTTTTTCTTTTTTAAGAGATGGGGTGTTGCTCTGTTGTCCAAGGTGGAGTGTAGTGTAGTGTGGCCTGATCATAGTTCACTGCAGCCTTGAACTCCTGAGCTCAAGTGATCCTCCTGTCTCAGCCTCCCAAGTAGCTGGGACTACAGGCATGTGCCACCATGCCCAGCTCATTTTTTAGTAGAGATAGAGTCTCATTATATTGTTCAGGCTGGTCTTGAATTCCTGGCCTCCAACCTTGGCTTACCAAAGTGCTGGGATTACAGTCATAAGCTACCATGCCTGGCCAGCTGTGGGTTTTTCATAGATGCCCTTTATCAGGCTGAGGAAGTTCCCTTTTATTCCTATTTTGTTTATTGTTTTTATTATGAAAGAATATTGGATTTTGTCAAATGCTTTCCTGAGTTTATTGAGATGATCATGTGTTTTTTCTTTTATTCTATGAATATAATGTATTGCATTGATTTTCATATGTTCAACCAATTTTGTATTCCTGACATAAATCCCACTTGGTCATGGTGCATAGTCCTTTTTATATGCAGTTTGCTAATATTTTTTGAGGATTTTTTGCATCTGTCTTCATAAAATATATTGGTCTGTAGTTTTTTTGTTTGTTTCTCAGATCTTTGGCCCTGGTATCAGGGTAATACTGGCTTGATAGAATGATAAGGAGGTATTACCTCCTCTTCTGTTTTTGTAAGAGTTTATAAAGGATCTCATTAATTCTTTAAACATTTGGTAAAATTCATCGGTGATGCCATCTTGTCCTTGGCTTTTCTTGTGTGGAAAGTTTTCCTTTAAATCATAACTCAATATCTTCATTTGTTATAGTTCTAGTCAGATTTTCTAATGATTCTTGAATCAATTTTGCTAGTTTATGTCTTTTTAGGAATTTGTCCATTTTATCTAGGTTATCAAATTTTTTGGCCTACAATTGTTTATAGTGTTTATTATAAACCTTTTTATTTCTTTAAGGTTAGTAGTAATGTCCCCTCTTTTCTTTTCTTTTCTTTTCCTTTTTTTTTTTTTTGAGACATGGTCATGCTCTGTTGCCTGTGCTAGAGTGCAGCAGCATCATCAAAGCTCACTGCAACCTCAAACCCCTAAGCTCAAGTGATCCTCCTGCCTCAGCCTCCAGAGTAGCTGGGACTACATGCACATGCCACCACACTGGGCTAATTTTTTAATTTTTTGTAGCGACGGGGTCTGGCTATGTTGTCCAGGCTGGTCTCACACTCCTGGGCTCAAGCATTCCTACCTTGGCCTCCCAAAATGCTAGGATTACAGGGATGAGCTACTGCACCCAGCCCCCTCTTTCTTTCTTGATTTTAGTTATTTGAATCTTCTCTCTTTTTTCCCTTAGTCTGTCTAGCTAAAGCTTGTCAATTTTGTTGATCTTTTCAAAGAATCAACTTTTGGTTTCATTGATTTTTCTCTATTGTTTTTCTATTCTCCGTGGGGTTTATATCTACTCCAATCTTTATTATTTCCTTCCTTCTCCGTTCTTTAGGTTTTGTTTGCTCTTCTTTTTCTAGTTTAAGGAGGGAAGCCATTTGTTTATTTGAGGGAAAAGCATTCTGGGCAGAGGAATGGCAAGTGTAAATATCCTGAGGTAGGAGCTTGCCTGACATGCTCAATGAATACTGAGGAGGTCAATTTGGCTAGAGCAGATAATGTAGGATCTTTACAAAGTATTCTCACTAAAAAATGTGATCCAGAAAATCTGCTTAAACTTTAACAAATTTTAGTCTGAGTGCAATGGGAAGCCATTGGAAGATTTCGAGCAGGGAAGTGACATGATATGACCTACATCTTAAAGGATCATTTTGACTGCTTTATTGAAAATACATTATAGGGAGGGAAGGGATGGGCAGAGAGACAATTAGGAGGCTACCGCAATAGTCTAGGTGATAGGTTGGCTTGGACAAGGGTAAGAGGAGTGAAGAAAGCGGGAAATGGTTAGGTTTTCAGAGATTGGATGTCAGTGTGACAAAAGAGAAATGGAAGAGTCAGGATGACAAAGTTTTTGGTGTAAGGATGTGGAAGAATGGAGTTGTCATTTACTGAGCCAGCGAAGACACCAAAGGGAGCTCTTTGGGGGTAGGGGGTATCAGAAGCTTAGTTTTGGACATGTTAGGCTTGCTATGTCTAGTTGACATCCAAGTGGAAATGCTGAATAGGGAATTGTATACATAGGATTCTGAAATCCAGGAGAAAGTGGATTGGAGTTATGATTTGGGAATTATCAGTGTGTGAAATGGTCAAGCTCTTTCATGTTCATTATTGTTATGGGAGTGGCCAAGGGATCATTAAATAAACATACTCTATCTGAGCACCTGCTCAGTGTGAGGCACGACGCACATGTTTTAGGCTTGGGAGTTTAAGGCAGAGGTTGCCATTTATTAGTATTCACAGAAACGGAACAGAGGAGGTGGTGCAGTTCTGGGGGGAAACTGGAGGGATCTGTGTTGCACATGTTGTATTTGCGGTGTCTAGAAGTGTCCAGGAAAGAGTTGACTGTATAGGGATGGAGATCAGGGGACAGTTTTGGGCTGGAGACTTGGCATGCAGTTGCCACGGGAGTGGCTGAGAGAGGCCAGGGGTAGCGTGAGTCTCTCCGCAGCTGGGAACAGGGATGACACATCTTCCCGTAATGTTTTTTTTATTTCCCTTAAGCGCCTGCTGTCATCACACAAGACGCCCTACGTCGACAGCTGCCAAAGAACACTTTTTATTCCTCACAGCTCCTCCCATGTTTCTGAGACTGCGGACAGAGGAAGGAACTCAAAATCATCCCCCGCCGGGGGCGGGCCTCAGCTGCGGTGGCGTCACTAGAGAGGCGGGATATCTAGGCCGCCAGCCTGGAGCCTGGGCTTCGCTGGCCCTGCCCCTGGGCGCTCCCTTCCCTGCAGGTCCCCTGCAGCCGCCGTCCTCAGCCCAGCTGAAGCAGGCCGAGCTCGGCCAGCATGCCCTGGGTGCGGTTGTAGACATCCTCCAGGGTGCCGGCGGCCCGGGCCAGCGCGGTCCGCGCCTCCGCCTCTGTGGTTCCTGGACACGACAGCTCGAGCAAGCGGCCGCGACCCGGGAAGGCGAGGAAGGCGAGGCGGGCGGCCTGACGGATGAGCCAGGGGTGGTGCGGGGCCAGGGCCGTGCCGTAGGCGTCGCTGCACTGCGCGCCGGCGTCCGGGCCTCCGAGCTCCCCGGTCGCCACCCGGTGGAGGCAGAGTTGCGACCAGCGCAGCGCGCGGTGCAGCAAGAGCAGCGTGCGTGAGCCCGAGGACCGGGCCGAGTCCCGGGGGACGGACCAGGGTCGCCCCAGCAGGCCCGTCCGCCGCTCCCACGCCGCCATGGCCGCCAGCGAAGTGTAGTGCTCTGCGTCTGGGCCGCGCAGCCGAGCCTCGAGGGCTGTCACCTTGGTGGAGGCCTCGCTTGTGGCGAAGGTGAAGATGGAGCCCAGGGGAGTTACGAGCCTGTGTATTTGGTGGTGGGATGGGAGAGGCCATTTGAGAGAGGGCGATGGAACCACAAGGAGGAGGGGACTGGCTTGCGGGAGGAAGACCACTCACTTGACTAGTTCCCTCCATCCTGCCAAGTACTGCGACAACTCCACATCCCCTGTGAGGTTCAGACTGGCTTGGAATGGCCTCATCATGCGGCCCAGCATCCCCTGAGGTTCCAGACACAGAGGCTCTTTCCACTGTGGGACTACCAGGGCTCCCAACTCTTGCTGGACCTGGAGGATAGATACAAGGGGAAGAGGGCGGGAGCAGAACCTCTAGGCTGCTGGACCTACTTAGCTAGCAGCATAATCGGGCTCTGAAGAAATTGTTCCTAAGGTCTAGTTGGTGTCCCTCCTGCTGTACTCTGAGCTTCTGATGGGAGAGGGAAGAGAAGGAGGAGGACCACCCTTTGCCAGATGCTCAGCCTGGCTCCATGTCCCCCTCTTCAGGGTCCCATCTGGAGCTCCCATGCCTAGCCTTCCCCTGAATGTACCTGGAAGGGCTTCGGTAGCTCTGGAATGCAGGGCTGTGCCCTGGATCCGCAGCCTGAGAGGGCCCCTGAGGAGAGGGGGAGTGAGCGTTGAGCACCTGAGAAGCAGGGCTTGGACTCCTGAGTTCCTCCCAGAGCAGCTGAGAGAGGGGGACACTCACCCAGGATCTGAGCACTGAGATAAAGAAGCAGCAGCAGGAAGATAGCCAGAGGAATTGAGTGGCGGAAACAGTGCTGCCAGGCCAGGGGCCGCCCTGCGACCCGCATGGCTGTTGCTGAGACCACCAGCCCCTGGCCAGTTGTGTCCCTCTGTCTCCAGGAGGAGAGAGAAGCCTGTGGTGCCCTGAGACGCAAAGGGTTAATAATTAAACTACTGGGGCCCCCTCTCCCCTGTGCCCTTTGTCCCAGAGGGCAGCTACCCTGGGTGTGGGGGACCAGATTAAGGGAATTTGGGAGATTCTGTGGTAGCAATGACAGGTCTCTGTATTTCCCTTCCCTGCAGAGCCAGCTGTAGTAAGGGCAGCTTGGGTATTGGGAAGAGAGGCAGGGGTCAGAACCAGCTCCCCTACTGAGCAATGGTGTAGGCCCTAAGTTAACTCTGGGCTTGAGTTCTCTCCATTGTAAATTGAGGATAATAATAGGTACTTTGCAAGCCTGGTGTGAGGATTAAATGACAATGTATGTGAAAACACTGTAAATGAAAAGCTGACCACAATTGCCCTATAAATCTTACTTATTAATGTTCAAGCACTGGGGGACCTCCAGGATCCAGGGAACACCCACTTCTAAATTCTCTCTTCTATCCCTAGGGGGCCTTGTCTTGATTTGGATACATGACCTCTCAATCATATACTTTAGGTTTTATCCTTTTACATTTTTGTGGTTTAATTTTTTAAACTCCAGATTGGCTCCTCAATCATTCATTACACCAACCTTTAACTACTTCCACAAGCCAGGCTCTGTACTACTCCTCAAGAATACAAAAGTGCTTTCAGCCAGGCATGGTGACTCATGCCTGTAATCCTATCACTTTGAGAGGCTGACCTGGAGGATCATTTGAGCCCAGGAGTTTGAAGTTGCAGTGCACCACACTCTAACCGGGCAACAAAGTGAGACCCTGTCTCCAAAAAAAAAAAAGAAAAAAAAAAAAATGCCTTCACAGAGCTCAATTTCCACTGGGAGAGAATTTATCATCTGTCTTCCCTCCCAGAATGTGAGCTCTGATGAAGACACGGGCCTTGTTTTTCTTGATTTCTTACAGCACTTGGAATATTGCTTAAGCCAAAACACATTATTGATAAGTAAACATATATTGACTAAAAGAAGGAACGTGTATGAGGGGCAGGTAAATCAAGGGTGCTGGCCCCTGTCAATTTTAGCCAGTTTTTTTTTGTTTTTTGTTTTGCAAATTAGGAGTCCACCTGGTGGTCGTGGGGAGAAAGGCATTCTGGGAAAAGATAGAGGGTACAGAAAGCACTGGAAGAAACAGCATCATCTCTTCTTAAGGATTCTTAGTCCCCTGTCCCTAAACTTCTTAGAATTGTTTCTTTCTCTCTGTGTATATTTGCTTCTGGGGTGGAGAGGGGTGTCCCAGATTCTCAAGGAGTCAGGGGCCCAGTCTCTAAGAAGACCCTTCTCAGCTCCTACAGTTCATGGATTCAGGCCCTATTCTCACTCTGATGCCCCCTCACCTACTGGAGGTCCCTTGCTCCTGAGCAGTCCTGTCCCTGGAGAGGTTCCCAAGAGATCACTTCCATTCCTAGTCCTGGTCTCCGCTCCCAGAGCTGGAATGTTTCCAGGCTTGTTGGTTGTGACCTTGGGCAAGTGGCTTGTCATTTCTGAGACCCAGTTCCCTCAACTACAAAATAGGAAGGGTAATTCTCACCTCCTAAAATTGTGCGGATTAAATAAAACACGGCTGCTGCGAAGCGCTAACCACAATTCGTGGCTATAGTAAACCTCAGTAGGTGAAGCTTGTTTGAATTCACCTGCCCTCACTGCCCCTCCTCCTCTAGCACTGGGAGCCTAGGCCTTGGCGAGCAGGAAATCGAGTTCCAGGGGTTGCAGGAGCGGATTAGCTTTGGGTGTCACTTAATCCGAGAGGTCCTTCCGCAATCCGCAATCCGAGCCCTCCGTAGGAGCGGAACTGATATAAACCTGCTTAAGAGGCCTGGTTCCCAGCCGCCGAGGGATGGAGCGGGGCGCGGGAGCCAAGCTTCTGCTGCTGCTGTGCGTGACTTGCTGCAGACGTGCACAGGCAGATGGCCCAAGCGGTTACACGTCGGTCATCGAAGTGACCAACGGGGGTCCCTGGGGAGAATGGGCCTGGCCTGAGATGTGTCCTGTAGGATCCGTCGCCAGCGGGTTCTCGCTGAAGGTGGGGGCTCAGGCCTAGGTGCTGGCGGGGGCAGAGATGCGGGGGGGCCAGCGGAGCCCAAGGATGGCAGTCCCCTGACTCCTCCTCGCCACCCAGGTGGAGCCCCCGCAAGGCATTCCTGGCGACGACACGGCTCTGAACGGGATCCGGCTGCACTGCGCACGCGGGAATGCCCAGCGCAACACGCATGTGGTGGAGTCCCAGTCTGGAAGGTGGGGGCGGGGGTCAAGGATCCCCCAGGGTGAGGGTATGTCCTTTATCCCCTGTTACACGCCCCCCCCCTCCTGGCAGGCAGGCTCTTCCAGAGCTACAGGGCAGTTTAGACCCGGGGGTGGGGAGCGAGTGTGAATGGAAGTCTTCTCCTTGGCACCTCGGCGGAATCCGGTGGCTAAATCCAACCCAGGGTGTCTTGTAGCACCTGGCTTGAAAAGTCCCAAGGGCTGGATCGGTCTGGAGCGGGGTAGGGGGCGCCCACAAATCTATCGGGTCTTCCTTTTTCTTGAAGGTGGGGCGCATGGAGTGAGCCGCTGTGGTGTCCCGGCGGCGGCTTCCTTGTGGCCTTCTCGCTTCGCGTGGAGGCACCCGTGACCCCCGGGGACAACACAGCAGCGAACAATGTGCGCTTCCGCTGCTCAGACGGCACGGAACTGGAAGGGCCTGGGCTGAGCTGGGGAGAGTATGGAGACTGGAGCGACGCATGCCCCAAAGGCTCGTGCGGCCTGCAGACCAAGATCGAGAGACCCAGAGGTCTCCGCGATGACACGGCGCTGAACGACGCGCGCTTATTCTGCTGCCACAGTTGACACCGCCGCCGCCCTCTCCTCTACCCAAAGGCTAGTCCCACCTCCCGCTATTAAAGCTTCTCGGTCTCGGCTTTGGTCTTGCCTGTTTGAAGGATGGGAAACTGCATCTCCTTTTTCCCTCCTATTGGGCGAGGCCTACATTCGGGTTTGGTCTCAGGGGTCTGTGCCAGACTGCTGAAAGTTACGGACCCATAGTCCAGAAAAATGCACTTAAACACATACTTTTTCAGACAGGTGAAGGAGGTCTCTGGCTTTCTGAGCCCACCTGCAGACACCCCGCCCCCAGTGAGAGCCCAGGTTGTCTCCTTTCTGAACCACCAGTGACCTCAGATTAAGAAAATTCTACCAAATTAGGATGTGACAAGGCTTTAAGGCTTCCTTTTCTAGAGTTTAAGAGACTAAAGTGTCTTTTTCATAATTTCCCTTATTTTCTCCTACAAAACCCAAACAGTGGCTCTTATAGATACTGATTCCCGTTCAGTACCTTTGTCCTTGCTGTTCTCTCTGCCTGGAATCCCCCCAGGTATCTAGATGGTTAGCAAGCCTACTAGATGTCAGCTCAAATTTCACTTTCTCAGACTTCACCTATCATAAAAAATAGTCCCTCCATTAGTCAACCACTATCCCATTACCAACTTTTTAAAAGAATTTTGTTTTGTGTGTGGTTTGGGTTTTTCTTTGTGTGGGCGTGTTTTTTGTGTGTGTTTGAGACAGGGTCTGCTCTGTCACCAGGGTTAGAGTGCAGGGGAATGATCTGAGCCCATTACAACCTCAAACTTCAAGGCTCCCGCAAACTGCCTAGAATTGCAGGCTGTGAGCTACCACATGCCTCTTTGTTTGTTTTTTAAGGAGACAGGGCCTCACTCTGTTGCCCAGGTTGGAGTGCAGTGGCTCAATCACAGCTCACTGCAGCCTCAAACTCTTGGGCTCAAGCAATCCTACTGCCTCAGTCTCCCAAGTAGCTCGGACTATAGGTACATGCCACCACTCCTGGTTAATTTTTTTAAATTGAGAGGGCATCTGGCTATATTGACCAGGCTGGTCTTGAACTCCAGTGATCCTCCCCCCGTGGCCTCCCAAGTGATGGAATTACAGGCTGAGCCACCTCACCCAGCCTACCAATGAGTTTTTAAGAAGTGCTTAATATTACCAATTGAAATAATCTTTTGCCTCTTTAACAAATTGCTCATCTTTCACCCCTGGAATGTTAAGTTCTTTGAGAGCCCAGAGCTCGTCTATCTTGTTTACTGCTGTATTTCCAGTGCAACCCCTACTAGCTCAGTATCTATTTGTTAAGATAATAAGTGGGTACAGGGATCCCAAACCCGAGAGCCCCGAGCCTGGGTGTATTTGCAAGCCCTCACATACTCCTCCTTGCATAGGGAACAATCTGAGACAGGGAAGAGGGCTCAAAGAAATTTATTCCAGTGAACCAGGGCATGGGGGTGCCAGGCGGGTGTCCACAAACAAACCAGCAGGTGTAATAGGATGGTCAGTGGAGCCTCAGTGAGGGGCGCCCTGCAGAAAAGAGAAAGTGAGGACGCAGCCGGGAGCAAGCAGGTTCCTTCTACAACCCTACCCCACGCCATCCTACCTCCTTTCTCCTGCAATCGCCACAGAAGACACCAATGGTCGCATTCACCAGTTGTATCCCACACAGCACGATTTCTAGGCATGAGGCGGCCACCAGCAAGGAGAAGAGTGTCACATTCCAGGGGACCACGTGAGGCGGCTCCTCGCACAAATCCCATTGAGTCCGGTTGACCAAGTAAGCACCTCTGTGGGACAGGGTCACGTGAGAGGAGGTAGTCTGGCGTGCCCCCCCCCCACCACCACCGCACACGTAGAGGGCATTTGCAAAGGGCTCAGTTGGCCCTCGTGAAGGGAGCTCTCTCGAAGCCGAGTCCTGCCCAGGTTTCCCGGTGGGAAGGACAGGTGGGAAGAGGCAGAGAGTGGAAGGCACGGATACAGGCTAAACCTTACGAGGTATCTTCGAAGTGGTAGCTCCACTCGCCGTTCATTAAGCATTTGGGTCCAATTCGGAGCCCGACTCCCGACACCGAGAGGCAGTATATGGCACCAAGCACCCCGAATGCCGAGGAGAAGACGGAGCGGAGCATCTGGATGCGGTGTGGAAGGTGAGGTGAGTAGGGCCGCAACCTCCCCGCTTGTCCCACCGCGCCTGGCTTCGGCCCCCACATCACCGCGCTCCTCTTGAGTCAGGTTTAAAATACATTTCCCGTCAAACCCTGGGCTTGGAGTTAGGCTAACCCTAGGAGCCAGCCGCCAGAGGTTCATGGGGGTTGTAGTCCCCTCTGGCCAGGCACATTGAGACCTAGGATTTGCGGGTGCGAGGGAGGAGTGAAGCCGGGCCTGGAACTCTGCAGACGAGCTCGTGTAGCTAGGAATTCTGTACGGAGTGCTGTGACTCTGCGAGGACAGGTTCAGAGATGAGTCCTGACTTCCTTCTTAATTTGGATCTTACCCTGCAGCGATTTCCACAGCAGCCTGCACCACAACAGCCCTTGCCCCCAGCGCGAACAGCTGCAATTCCTGGACACAGTACCTGTGGGGCAAGAGTCAGTGTGATAATGGGTCCCCATAACCCTCACCTCCCACCCGGCTCCCCTATCCATAAAGCCTTGCTTGTATCAATGCTTACCTCTTTTGGAAGGCTGCTGTGATGCCCTCAACCCTTTGGACTATAGGGAGACCTTATTGCTACTTCTCCTAGAGCTGCTGGGCTTTAGGTAAATAATATATCATTATTTATGTGCCTACCTTATCTCTGTCCAGGTTGTAGCTTACTGGAGGGTGGAGTCCAATATCATTATATTCCTTGGCACACAGTAGGTGCCCAATTGAATGGGAGTCAGGAAGCCTGAGTTTTAAGGCCAACCCTGCACTACTTCACACTCTATGAATTGATTCATCTCTCTGAGTCTCAGTTGTGTCCTCTGTAGAATGGGTCTGTAGGAGGTACTTCACAGAGCTGTTCTTAGGATTTTTTTTTTTTTTTTTTGGAGACAGAGTCTCACTCTGTTGCCTGGGCTAGAGTGAGTGCCGTGGCATCAGCCTAGCTCACAGCAACCTCAAACTCCTGGGCTCAAGCGATTCTACTGCCTCAGCCGCCCGAGTAGCTGGGACTACAGGCATGCGCCACCATGCCCAGCTAATTTTTTCTATATATATATTTTTAGTTGTCCAGATCATTTCTTTCTATTTTTTGTAGAGACGGGGTCTCACTCTTGCTCAGGCTGGTCTCGAACTCCTGACCTTGAGCAATCCACCCGCCTCGGCCTCCCAGAGTGCTAGGATTACAGGCGTGAGCCACCGCGCCCGGCCTGTTCTTAGGATTTAATGAGATAACAAGCTGACTTGGTTTCAAGACTGGCTCAGAGTAAATGCTCAATAACTATAAATTCTCTTAGCAGCAGGAAGAGATAGTGGTGTTGGAGTATCTGGTGAATTGGGATTATGGTAGAGTGTGGAAGAGTTATGCTAGCAGATGTTGTGATGTGCAGTGTAGGATATCCCAAGATTCAGCTCCAGGTCTTTTTTTCTCCTTGTAGCCTTCCTGACAAAGCCCATCCCCTCCCAGGGAATTAGCTGTTCCCTCTGCCAATAGTCGCCTCTAAAATCGATGCCTCCAGATCCAAATCTAACTGCCTGTCTTGGTTTTAACTCAAATTCAGCCAGTTTCATACTGACCTCACACTATTCCCCAAACCCATCTCCCTTTGACTTTCTTGTCTCCATCAGTGGAAAAAGTCACCCAGGCTAGAAAACTTTAATCCTGCACCCAGCCAGACCTCAAGTCTTCTTGACTTTTTCTTAAGTGGCTCCTGAATCTGTCAGTTTTTTTTTTTTTCCTTCTTCCCCACATTCAATTCCTAATCACCTCCCAGGAGGATGATGTTCTCAGCCTCCCCACTAGATTCTTGCCCCATGCCACCCCACAATCCAGCCTAGGTGCCACCGGAAGATTAAACACAGCTTTCAATCGGTCTCTTTTCAGCTCAAATCCTTTAGTATCTGTTCACAGAGTAGCCCGTTAAGACTGAACCCCTAGCAAGGCACTCTAGGCCAGGTTCTTTGCCCATCTCCCATCTCTGGAATCCCACAGCTGTCTTCCTCTTTGCTTCCCCACATATCTTGTCTGGCACACACCATGCAAGGCAGCATTTTGTTCTTCTCCAGGGAAGGTGCTGAGAGTTTTAGTTCTATTGTCTCATCCATAGCAACCTCAGAAAAACACCTGCTGAGTTGGGCTGACTTTCCCCCTGGACACTCTCCTCTCTTCCTGTCTCATGGCAGGGCCAGGGCCAGTGCTGATCCCCTTCTTACCCTCTCTGGTGAGATCACTTACTGAAAGTCTCCTGGATCCAAACGCATCTAGAATTGCCTTTTGAATTTACCAATTTTGAATGACCTACCTGTTTGGGATTTTTACTCTTTTGGTTAAAGTGTTTGTTCCCCTTTGTGGTCTGAGCTTCTCTGTCTTGCTCACTGCCATCTAATTGTCTTAATGAAAAGAGAAGGGTCATTGTAGATACAGGAGGAAACACTGAGTTTGTAGGTTCAATCTGCTCACTTTTCTCCATCTCCACGGCCATTGGCCTAGTCCAAACCACTCTCATCTCTCCTGGACAACTGCAGTGACCTTAGTCTGGTCTTTCTGTATCTATTGTTGACCTCCTATTATCGACTCTCTATACAAAGGCCAGAGGGGTCTTCTTCAGTCCAGTGGGGTGTGGAGCAACCAGAACTCTCACTCTGTGCTGATGGGAATGAAATTGGTACAAGAACTACAGAAAACTGTTTGGCAATATCTATGAGCACTGAATATTTGTACACCTTAAGAATCAGCAATTTTCCTCCTAGGCATATATCCAACAGAAATGCACACATATGTTTACCTAAAGACATCTACAGGAATGTTTATAATAGCATTATTTGCAATAAAGCCAAAGTGGGTACTATCTAAATGTCCTTCAACAGTAGAATGTTTAAATAAATTGAGATTTTTTCACACAATAGAATGCATAAGAAATAATTTAAAAAAAACTACAGCTCTACAGCTGCACCTACTAATATGGATGTCTCTCACAAACATATTACTGAGTTTGAGACACAAAAGAGCACACACTGTATGATTCCATTCATATAAAGTACTAAATAAGCCAAACTAGTCTATGGGGTTAGAAGACAGAATAGTCATTACTCTTGGTGGGGGGAATGAGTGGTGAGAGGCATGTCTGGGATTCTGATAATGATCTATTATTTTTTTTTTTTTTTTGAGACAGTCTCTCTGTTGCCCGGGCTAGAGTGCTTTGGGTTGTGTCAGCCTAGCTCACAGCAACCTCAAACTCCGGGGCTCAAGCAATCCTTCTGCCTCAGTCTCCCGAGTAGCTGGGACTACAGACATGCACCACCATGCCCAGCTAATTTTTTCTATATAGATTTTTAGTTGTCCAAGTAATTTCTTTCTATTTTTAGTAGAGATGGGGTCTCGCTTTTGCTCAGGCTGGTCTCGAACTCCTGAGCTCAAACAATCCGCCCGCCTCAGCCTCCCAGAGTGCTAGGATTACAGGCATGAGCCACCGCGCCCCGCCTGATAATGATCTATTTTTGATCCGGGTTCAGAGTACATGGGTAAGTTCATTTTGTAAAAATTCGTTCAGCTGTTTACTAAGGATCTGGTCACTTGTTTGTATGACAAATAAGAAGTTTTAACATGTAAAAAAAATGGGTAAAAAAAGTCCTTCAATAGTTTTCTGTCATACTTATAATGAAAATTCAAATTACTCACTGTAGCTTTCAAGGGTATATGTACACGGTCTAGCCTGTGTCCTCCTCAGACATCTCATTAAACCTCAGTTGCACCGGCTGCCTGTCCAGTCCTTGGAGATGTCGCACCTGTTCCCACCTTAGGCTTTGTACTTCTAAGTCTCCCTGTTTGCAATGCTCACACCTTCTTTTTGTCATTTGGGTCTCAGTTCAGACATCACCTCATAGAGGCCTTCCCCAAAAATGCTTTAAAAAGTTGTCCCCCAACTTTGTCTAGGAACTCTTTATGACAGCAGCCTGCTTTATTTTTTGATGTTACCTACTCATGTCTGAAACCATCTCTCTTATTTATTTACTTCAATCATTTAGTGACTGTTAATTGAGTGCCTGTTAAGTGCTAGGCACTGGTCCATGCACCAGGCACATAGTAGCCAACAAAGCAGGCAGTCCTTGCTCTCACGGGGCTTGCGGTCTTGCTTCCTTGATACCAGTTGCCTCACCAACAGGAACACAAGCTTCCGGCAGAGCAGGGACCTTGTCTGTGTCCCCATGGCATAGGGTGGTGCTTCTTGAGAGTGACTCTGGGCACGGAGGTGGCGGAAGGCAGCTGTGAATGAGAGCATTGGGAGGACAACCTTGGAAATCTCCCCTGAAGTGGGCTCGTTAGATTGGGCAGAGGAGTGTGGGGGTGGGGTGGAGGTGGTTTAGGCTGGAGAAGGAGCACAGTGTGACAGTGGGTAAAGGAGTGTGACATCTCAGAGAGAGTTGTGTTCAGAGGGATGGAGTAGAGTCCAACAGCCATGAATCCATGCAGGAGAAGGAGGAGGAGAAAAGACACCAGAGGGTAAGAGAGGACAGTTGGTTAAAGGAGAGGTAAGCCCATTTAGCTAACAGAAGCATGACCAGCAAAAGGGATGAAGGTGAGATCTTTCCTGGAGAATATCATTAGTCAACTGTCCTGAGAAGTGGAAACCTGTGCTGGGTAGATCTTTTGTTTTTATCCCATGAAGATATTAAACTAGGTTGGCCATTCAAAAGTTTCCCTAAATGGGGAGGGAGTTGGAGGATGGGGTTAGGAAGTCTGGAAATCTGTCTCCTCTTCCTTTACTTCTCCTGACAGAGCCTAGTCTCCAGGAGAACTTGGCACATTCTCTGCCACACTGCCCTAGGCTCTGAGTTTATCCTTAGCACCCAGCACAGAGTGGGTATCTGGAAATGTGGGCTGAGAGTGAACAGATATGGAGGTGGGAGAGGGTGGTACCTAGTTAATAGGTAGAGTGAGTAATCTGTGATGTCACTCCCTGGCTTCAGACATTTTCACTGCACTCATCCTACCACGCCTATTACTATCCTGCCCTGATGACATCTCACACGACCAGCTGCTCCTTCTGCCTCGACCCTTGTAGTGAGGTGTCCCCAGCACGTGCTCAACAGTGGGGGTGGGGAGCGACAGGTAGGAAATGCTCCCTACCCAGTCAGGAAGCTCTGTAGAGCAGTGAGGATTCCTTCCTTCCCATTTCCCTCAGACATTCAGCCTAGGACCCCAGGCAAAGTGTGCCTAGAGTGTAGGGAAGAATTGGGTGGGCTTCTTGTCCCCACCAAGCCATTGCCATCCCTTCCCAGGCAGCCATCCTTTTCCCTCTCTCCCTCTCCCTCCTGTTCAGAGCCCCTTAGAGTGGCATCCAGCCCCCAGCCCAGCCTTCTCACCATCAGGCCCCCGCCGATGAAGCCCGCCATGAGCCAGACTTGCAAGCTGAGGTGATTGGTCCAGGTGGTCTCTCCGTTAGGCACCAGCAGGAGGGCGTTGGCCACGATGCAGATGAGGGAGAGGGGGATGAGGGAGAGCCCCACACAGCGGGCACACTTTCCCGTGCACATGCTAAAGCACTGCGAAGGGCAGGTGGTGAGTGAAAGTGCAGGAAGTTCCCAGGTCCAGAGGAAAGCAAGCCCTGAGCGGGAGCAAAGGTCAGGGAAGAGGAGTGGCAGAAACTGGCTGGATCACAGTGATAAGGGAGAGAGGCACAGGTGGGAGAGGGAGGGCTGCTGCAGCCCTGACGTCAACTGGGGGATGTGGTGGTGGGCGGAGATGGGGAGCTTGACGCGCAGAGGAAGTTGCCTGGGGTTAGTGTCTTGCCCTTTTTTCTGCACACACCTCTCCACAGCCCCTCTGCTGGTCCCTTAACTGCTTTGTGGCTTAGCCAAGGCCCTTAATGTTTCTCAGTCTCAGTTGCCTCAACTGTATAAAGGGTACAGTGATGCCACTTGCTTCATGGGGCTTGTGAAGATCAAACGGAGGCAACGTGAGAAGTATTTTGTAAACTAGGAAGCACGAAGCAGATGTATGGTGGCCTCATCCTTTTCACTGGTTCCATAGGGAGAGTTCCTTCTAGGAAGAAACTAAAGAGATGATAGTGGGCTTTCATTCTCCTTTCATTTCTTTTTCTCAGTATCTCATTATTGACCCTTCCTCCTGTTGAGGCCATGCCTGTTTCTGAGGGTGGGCTTGAGACTGAGGTCTGACTGATTAGAGCATTCTAGCTCTCTGGCCTCCATGTTTGATTCAGCGACGGCCATGTGATACAAGCCAGTTCTGTGCGAATCAATTTCTGGGTTTTTTTGGTTGGCATTCTGAGGTCAAAGAAGTTCTGTTTTTGTTGGGGTGCTGAGTCAACAAAAAGAAGGTATTACTCAATTATTGTATACATGTCCAAGTTGCTTTTTGTGTGTGAAGAGCAACAGAATTGCATTTCTGAGAATGCTTGGATTTGGAAATAGCCCTGTGTCTCCTTCTTCTCCTTTTTGGGGAAGTCATCTTAACTCATCAAGAAATGAAGTAAAATAAAAACCCCCAAATAGGGAAGTCTTTCCTTAAGTCTAAATCATTTTTATAAATCTAGTCACAAAACTGGGTGTAAGTTTCAAAAATCATTTAAAGAGAAAATATAGAATATAAATT